TAACCAGCTGTTTCAATATTTACACAAGAGATTTCCTTCCCATACGAATATTGACAGTAATGACTTAATAATAAGAAAAGTATACCGTAACATCTACACCCTTTTAATAGTCAAATAATCAGTGTTTTGTTGGAACCGTTGCGTGCTGAATTCGCCCATCTGACCCAATCTACTATGTAAACGCGTGAGCTTCTCTTCTGTGCATATTAAAAGATAATGGTCAGCTGTTGTCGTGAATGTACATCAGTCATCAAAGAAAAAAGAACAAAATAATAGCGGACATTGGTTCTCATACGCGAGCGGCAGTAATATAGGTTACGAATCCAACTTACATCAATCCTGTGTTGTGATAAAATATAGTTATGTGCCGATTCTACAAATACTTTACGTTAAAATTCAAAGTAATTATAATAAAGCTCTTTATTTTCACCTGGACACATGAAATACGAATATTTTCAAACATTGGGTTCCCACCTTAGTAGTCAGAATGAAATAAATCGGATATAATCTCAATATTAAGACACATGTATTTAATATTCATTTTACATGGTTAGCATAAGCGCCTACGCTGTTAGCTGTAGGTTTGTGCCTACGTTATAATTTTATAAGTCCATTCATTCATTAATGATTTCACTACAAATGAATTTAAAACATAGTCCATTCGCATAAGACTTGAAATCGAATAAGATAATATTGGCATTATTTATTATAAAACATCCCGGGAGCTGATTAAAATATCGATGTCGTATCAGTAACATCCATTGCAATTAATCGTCATTGGAGCAAAATGATGCATGAGTTAAAATTAAGATTACCAACAACTTAGACCTTAATAGCAATATTTAGAACATCCAAAAGCATTCATCATCCTAACAGATGGTAAATGGTACAAATATCAACGAGTCCAGAAAGACTCAACGAAAAAAAATGTTAGCTGTAATGTATACTTTTGCCGCACAAAGTAAACACATTTAGAAGAACCGAAAGTCTACTTATAACTTTCGTTTCAAAGATTCATAAACTCGGTAACGTCCAATTTTAATCAATTACTTGTTCCAGTTACAACTCGATTCTTGACAATGCGTTAGTCAATTCTGCTAAATGGTTTTCAACTTAGGTATAAAAGCTAATACTTAAAAAATTTTTTCGTTACACCGATTTCTTCTACTCTTCTCCTTTAATTTTAATAATTTCTTGCATAGTAAATAAACGAAAAGGAATATTAACGCCTTATAAGAATTCGTTGTTTTCTCTTCAACCGACTTTTCAAGGGCATTGATAAATGCCATTACGCTGGCAAAAATGCATTGATAAAGCGTGCAATTTCTTGAATTCATAGAGATAGATTAAAAACGATATGCATTTATGTAAAGATTAACATTAACATAGGAACAGCTCCAGATTGGGCTTGAAGGGGTTGAATTCTAGGAGCTCATATTAAATAAACTAAAAACGAACACATCAATAGGTGTGTACGAGTAACACAAATACTTGGTTACTAAACAAGTCGACCTATTACCGTCGACGGAAGTAGATTACGAAACTGGTTCCATGCGAATGTTTAAAATTAGTTCCCAATTGCGTTAACATATTGACAAACGGTTTACTTTAATACAAAAGATTGTAAGGAGTCTTACACATTTTACAAGACAATGTGTGTATTTCGGTATTAAAAGTTGTTAAGTTCGATACTCAATTACTGTATACATAGAAAGGTTTCAAATCACAATAGGCCCTTATTTCAGTGTTATTGTTTAACTAGCTTTACGCCACCGGCTTTTCCCTTTATTGCAACATTTTTCATTGCTGCCCCACTCCTATTAGTCATAGCATGATGTTATACAGCGTATAAACCTTTCTCGATAAATGGACTATTCAGCACAAAATAATATTTCAATTCAAACTAGTACATCCTGAAATTAGTGCGTTTAAACAAACAAACTCTTCAACTTTATTATTAGTATATATAGATTCAGTCCAGGGTTAAATACAAGCAAAGGGAATGCTAACCAACAAGATAGCTTTAGCACTTAATATATCTTAAAATCCATGAGTTCAGAAGGAGAAATTTTAATGAATCCAAAAGGAATATTCGTTATTAATAGGCGATTGCCCAACTAAATAATACAAACGTAACGATTAAATAAATAAACGAAATATTTTTAAACGTTAACGTGAATGATAGATGACATAATTCTGACTACTCGATTATCGATTATCTGAACTAGCGAAGGTCCATATTTATAATTATTAAGTATTCAAAATTAAAAATTTTCTGCGCGTTCGATGAGGCTTAATTTGCGTTCAGTATAAATCATTATTCTATTGCGTTATGGCAACACTATTTGCAGTTTGGTTACGAGCAAAATCTTATTGAATAGAGAAAACAAGAAACATTTGATGATGATAATAAAATAAGTTCGAGTATTATCATATGTCCCTACTGAAGACGGGACTCCAAATCATTTTGAAATACCTACTTAAAACCTACTTTTATCGACCATCTGAAGTTTTTTTTTAGTCTGACATTTCCACTGATCATCAAATACAGGAGAAGAAGCAAATAAAAGAGCATTTAGAGATTCAGGACAAAGCAGGGCGGCATTATTGAATTCGTACCTCCTTTCGGCTCAAGGGCTGCGTGAATTGGAACACAGGTTCGTGAACAACTCTGTTTAAGAATCACCTCGGTCCTTGGTATTATAATCAGAAATACCGATTCGGACGCCCCAATGCGCCTTTCATACAAAGTGTGGGTACAGTGTAACGCACTAGTTCATTTCTTTTTCAGCACGGAGAAAATCTGATGTTCATATGAAAAGCACATTCAGGTCTTCGAATCAGATTCTGATCTCCTGATCAGAAATTTCATGATCTGATCCGTTTCGATTTCCTAATCGAACACGGAAAACAAATGTGTGGGTCTATGCTTAAATCTTCTTACTATATAATTTTTAGATGTATGGTAAGTATATTTTTGGTTTAATAATAGGAATAAGAGTAGTACAAACAATATCTCGAGCTTTATGACATTAACACTTCGTTATCGTCATTCGTCGAACGGAGATTAATACATCTCTTTGCAATCGAAGGAGACAAAAATAGCGAGTTTAAATAACGTCGAATGTAAACTAGTAATAAACGAGCGGTGTACGAGAGTCGAATATATTAAAACATTTAACTGCAACGCCGTGTTGATCGCAACATTAAAACTCATTACTTGAATGTTTTTAGATAAGTGATCGCAACATTGATGCTCTCACTAAATGTTTTTAAATAATCTAACAGCCTGAGAGATTCTAGTTCTTCATCTTATCACATTTACAGTTTGTCTGTGATGCAGGTAATAATTGATTTTCTATCAGGACTCTTACTTGTGGGATAAATGAAAGCAATTCCTAAAGGCACACAGTGATACGTTTACAGAACATGTTCTGTAAGCTCTAAGTCAGTGCAACAGTTAATACAAGCCACTTATTATTTTAACGAATGATAGGGCTTGGGCTCTATCAGGACAAACTATAGTCCTGCCTCTTTAATGAATCCACTAGCGGTCCACAAGGAGTCGAAGGCACTTTTATTGCCAGTGGACTGTAATCGTAGAACAGAAAGTAATTCCAGATCGAACAGAACATTGTGCTTTTGTTTAATAAATGAACATTCATTTCAAAGTTTATACAGGTAAAACAAAATGTTTGCTAACCCTTAATATAAAGCAAACAAATAAAGAATAGTATATACACAGTCTCCCGTTCATACAATATTTCACTAACAATAGTATTGACAATCTGTCATTTGGACAAAGGTCCACTAAAACTGTCATTATTTTAAAGCAACAATACCCATACAACTTTGACATACATTAGAGCTTAAAGGTGTCATTAAACCTTAATGAACATTTGTACAAACAACTGCTAAGCTATCAATATATTATTATTGGTATCAACATACTGTGACTATTTTTCAAGGTGAACTATTGATAGACAAACGTTTTTCTTCCAACATTGCTATTATGCACCTAATAAATTATCCATCTATAAGAATAATGCTATATACTATAATATTATGTAAATTTTTTCTTATCTATATTTTTGCTATAGAGAAGAATGTATAATGAACAAAAATATCACAGATTCTTTATAAATATAATTTTGGAATAAAATTAACTATTGAACAACAAGTGTTCATTTTAAGAGCTATTTTTGTATACCTAAGATTATTATTTAATTTATAGTTGAAACTGTTAGTAGATTGTAATAAAACATATGTATCCCTTCAAGATACAATCCAATTACATAAATCAATAAGTAACCAACCATAGGGGAGGAATTGGCTAGGTTTCTATTTCTAAAAGGTCTAAATATTTACACAAGCGTCGTTCTCAGCGAAAACACTACATATTCTTTACTAAATTCTATTTTAGAAATTCTGATGTCACCCTTTTGAATGTAGGCGCTCCTAAGCAAGGCCGAAAAAGTTAACGCACAAACACATCAATACTAATTAAAATATCGACTTTTATGCATCCATAGAATGGAAGGAACTCCCTAATACAATGCTATACTACAGAAGCCCCACGAATCTACATAATCATTTAGTTTTTCACATTCTAAACTAAAGTGCTAATGTCAACAAAAGATAAATTTCCAATTCTCACGCTTCGGGTGTCAATGCGGAAAGGTATTAAACGCCAAATGAACTTATTGGCTTCCGTAGAACCAGAATAACGAAGAAATGAGGTTACGAAAGCTGTCGATCGATATATATAAATGAAATCCTGAAAAGCTCCAGCCACAAGATGGCGGGAATATAAACCGGCCAAATAAAAGTGATCAGGAACAGTAGGAAGTGCACTACTAATGAGATGACCTAAATTTGGTCGGGTTATAGATCTGATCGTACAGATGTAAGATTTCTCATTTCCTACCAGATTTCTGTACAGTTCACTAGCTTGTAATTATAACATATGAAAAAGTTGGTTGTTAATTCACTATGCTTACCGTTTTTACTTTTCATTAGAACACGGGGCATCACAAAACACAATTTTTTCTACACAAGCACTCACACGCCCATACAGTATGAAACAACATCACGAGTACAACTGCGCCATCTGGTGCGTTTAGTACACAATCAACTCGACAACTGCAATGAATCACCTGTGGCTATGTTCACGTTAATGTTAATTTTTAATTCGGCATTATAAAGAGCGCTATTTTTAACTTAAATTATATAAATTCCACGCATTTTTTTAAGTTCAAAGTGTTCTCTATGTCACATATAAAAGCTGTTAATTGTAGACAAGACAACAACAATTTAAAGCAACAATTGATACGCGCACAGTATTGATTTTTTCCGTGCATCAGATGCTGATTCATACAATTTCGCGCAAACTTGGCGCAAATCGGAGTAAAGTTTGACTCATTACAATAAGATGAATAAAACTAACTCGTTGTAATTCAGTTGTATAAAGTAAAACTTTACATTCATTATAGTTCTAAGCATCAAATTAAGTATGCTGTTAGCACGGGGACAATTCCTTTTATGGTGACTCAAGTGTCGAGTTGTTTCATCTTAGAATGTGACCGCAAGGTCTCAATAGCGTAGGCTTGAATTGTTGGAAATTCAATCAATTGATTCTGTCTCGGTAGCACATTTATATCTTGTAACTTAAATTAATGCATTCTTTTAGATTACAAACATTTTGACACATGAAAGCTCCTGACATCATGAATATTAATTGCTAATAAGACATCTCCTACCTACTTACTGTGTTTTTTGGTTCTGCGGTCTGTATTTTTCTTTTCAGAGTGTGCTTAATGATTATGTAGGGAGTAATTTAACTATGTTTTAGTTATAGTATAGTGCACAAAACTATAAAATTAAGAGGTTTAGCGCAGTTATGATTTAGGGTGTGGTTATATTGTCGCCACAATGTTCTGAATCATCTAACTACCCTCATGCTTGTTGCATGTTACATGTTTAATAAAAAAAGCTTTAGACAATTGTTAATTGTGATTTCTGCTAAATTAAAATATATATGTATAAATTTATATGTATAATGCAAGTCATATTGCAAGTAAATAATAGCATTATATTAAAAACTTTAGTAGGTACTAGACATTCCCTTTTTTTTTGCTCTCATTATGTCCTCTAATTTTTCTTTTTGATATCATTTATTAAATTAAGTTGTGTTTATCTGATGTTTAACGAAATAATATAATTTCTTATTGCTAACATCTGTAACATCTGTTGTGTATAATAGAGTTGACGTCTACGTCCCTTATATGCGACCTCCCGGGCTTACTGTGGCCTTAAATCTGCAATTGCATGTTTAATGCATTTTATAACAACGTTATAGAAAATATGTATTTTAATTTAATCTTAAACAATCGAATAATATAATAAATAAAAATGTATACCTAGATCAATCATATAGCGAATTAACTGTAGCGCCTACTTAAACTTTGATAGCAATTTCACTATAATTCATCATATTGCCGTTATTTATAGAAAAGGGCTTATAGGAGTTTTTAATATGTAGTAATGTGTATAAATAATCATATAATAATTGTGCTATAATAAAAATCAAAATAAAATTTATAATAAAATAATTGACACTATTATGACAAGTAACAACGATAAACCAGCCTTACAAAATTCTTATTTTTATTTGGTTCAAATCCCATCTCCGGGTACCCGGAGCTAGTGAATTTTTTAAGTATTTTCTTACACAACTTGGAGTTGTTTGCTTACAAATAATTTACATTTTCGAAAAAACCCACTGCACGGGGAATACATTTTTGCATTAAATAACTAAGTAACTGTTGTGGTCATTTTACTACAAGGAAAATATTATGGAAGGAAAAAAATGAAGAAAGTAACAACAATTAAGTAGTAAATCTGTGTTTGAATATGTATGTATGTAGGAATATTTAAGTGTACATGTGTGAGAGTATGAATAATTTGTGTGAATATGTGTTAGGTTAGATCTAGATCCTGTTGTAGTGATGTTCTTTTGTTATTAAATTCTCAGTTTCGTTATAATTTAGTTTTTGTAGCCAATCCATTTTTTTCTTTATCTGCGATTTCGTAAACTATGACAAAAGAGAGTACGTCAATTAGGAAGTGTTAAATTATTTCAGTCGGATAATGGTTTAAACCTGGTTATAAAGTCCTTGTTTTAAATAACACAGTTAACTAAAACGAATAAATTGTTATTTTATTATTTCTCTCTGAATCTTCCGTTGACTCACACCCAGGTATCAGAGATAAAACTTATATCTTGATGTTTTGATAAACTTAGTCTTTAATCAATCAATTAGTTATTCTTAGTTCATTAAAGCAACAAGTCATGATAGGTACTAAAGATTTTCACAACAACAGTCTCACAAATAATATAATAGGTAAGATATTTTTTTATTATAAAAAGTGGATCCTATATTTTTTATAATTCACTAGCTGACCAAGCCATTTGTTGCTGTTGCAATAGAGATATACAATTGAGATGAAAACTGTCCTAACTTGTAAGTTAGACCAAATTACATATATGACATTAAATCAATAGTTTCGGAGTTTATCAATGACATAGGAAGATATACACATGAGATTTTATGTATACCTATAGATTTATTTTAAACACATGTCCAACTTTACGTAGGCTACTCTTATTTCACCAAAATTCTCGTAATCCATAACAATTATTGTGAAAGTGTATCAAATAGCTCTTGGCTACAAAGTGAGTCACTCACGAGAATATATCGAAAAAGATGGATTTGCAGAGGAACTTTCATATATTTTTGTATCTAAATAAACAAATTGTGACACAATATTTTGTCATTTTGAATTACAATTTATTTGTAACATATATTTTTTTTTTGTCGACGAGCCCTTTTAAATTAGCCGTACTAAGCCATGACTCGAATTATCTAGAAAACAGTATTATTTGTAAAAGTAAGCACATTTGAAAACACCACCCTCTCGGATAGAGCTACCAATACATTTATCGGCTTACTGTTGTCTAAATTGCTGGCAAGTTTTACAACTTAGATACGATAACATCTACAGTTGCTCGTTTCGGAACCCTCGGAAAAATTTGATAAATTACTATTGCTCGCAGTCTCGCACCCATCTCTCTTAGAAAAATAGATATGAATAACTCAACATAGGTTTTGGGGGTGGGCCTTCAACAATATCTAAGAAGATGTATTACGTTGTAATAAGAACTAGTTTTGCATATATTTTATTTTACCTATTTACTGAACCATAAAGTCTACAAAATATAACGATTAAGATTTATTTAACAAAACGAATGAATTTTGTGAGTAAAGTTTTTGTCGTTAATTTTGTTATGTACCCCTTGTGGCTGGCTGCGGTGACGTCGTTGAAAATAAAAGAGACCTTAACTTTATAAGTCTTTTTATTTATTCCACTGATTTTACAGTATTTATCAAACTTGGCGGCACAGATATTATGAGGTTTTAATGAGGCGAATGACGATGAGAGGTGTCTATACTAAGACAGATAGTATACAATTATATTTTAATGCTGGATTTCAGGGGTTTATATACTCCTGATGTTTTGTATTAATTACGTTTACAATATTGCTATCAGTTTTAAATTGACCCTTAATATAGTTCAAGTCGTACACATGTCGCGGCATCTTTTTAGCATAGTAGATGATTAGGAGTGACCTTTCAGGTCACTGCCAAAATAATTGATTAATTAGAAAAAAACAAAACTATTAGCGATGATTTATGGTTTTGATAAGATGATATTTGCATAAGTGAACTACTTGTTGGTCACGTAGACCATTACTTAGAAATGATATCGGGATAGGGTGCGTACATAACAATTTTACTTTTTGTTAAAAGTGAACAAGATTTATCCATATAATGAACAAGGTTTATTGGTGTAATTTACGCTGAAATTTCATTTATATTAGTGAAAGTGCATATTAATAAACAGAGAATTAAAAAATGTTTAAATAATACAAGAAGGATATACTTTTGTTTAGTTTGTGTTTAATAATATTCGTTTGACTAATGCTGTGCAAAATTGTAGGTAGCAAAATTCAGTTATAAAGAACTTTCAAGAACGTTTTACTTTAATGCGTGTAAATTAGTTCATTAATAAATTTGTAAACCCAAAATAGGACCTAGTTTTATCACTGATACGTTCTAAAAACGTAACATAAATGCACTTTAATATTGTAGGTTTAAATTGCTTTATAAAAAAAGCCAAGTGCGAGTCGACCTCGCGGACTATGGGTTCCGTACCTTTATAAGTACTAAAGAGTGGTAAGTGTAAGTTTTACGCTAACGCGTTCACTAGTGAGCGCGTTAAGAATTTGTACGGAGATTTGTAGTTCTTGGTAGTTACCGCTAGGGGCGCTGTACCGGATTCCATACTAAAATCTTAACGCGCTCACGATCGACAGTGAACGTAAACGTCAAAAAAACTTACACTAAGCGCTCTGTTGTTTTGTTTGAATTTTTATCAAAGACCGTTTAGTTAGCAGGGTGGGTACCTACTCGAATCTAACGTAAATGAATAAATCACAAACAGTTTACTAAAACGAAAAACGGCCTTTCCACACACCCAAAGTTTTTGAATGAATGATCCAACCATGCACTACGTGGAAGAAGAAAAAAGTATCCCCACTTTACATGTGGGAGAGGTACCAGAATTTTTTTTTTCAAGATTTTATTTTACCACTTTGCCAGCGTAATTATTGTGTGTAAGTACTCATGCTAAATTACAACTTTCTAGTACCGGATAGACGGACATGGCGAAACTATAAGGATTCCTTGTTTACTACGGAATCCTAAAATTATACTTGATTTTCGGTGTATTATTTTGTATTTTGATCTCAGCTTGATCTTCTATACTGCAAATTGCAGTCTTATGACTTAAAAAAATTGTTTCATAATGGATCAAAGTGGACCACAACAATGACGATATTAATAATATAATCACAATGGTAATGTTTCGTTGCATATGATATTTATATAACAAGAAAAAAGTATCTACTTGGAAATTAAAAAATAATGTCAAAATTAGAAATATTTTATTATTAATGTACTATCCATAATAAGTGGTATGTGTGGATTTTAATATCCAATTAGAATAGTAGGAAATGTTAGTGAATATCGCCAGTCTAATTTCACAGTCTCTGGGTTTCACTGCTAAAACACCAACGACCTTATCTTCAAAGAACATAGGTCCAAATTCGTGTATGAAACAGTCCTCGTAGTAAGACAGATCAACACATATAAGACTCTCGTCTAGTGGTAACCCGTAATTCTCATAACATTTTGCATGTGGTACTATAAATACTTCGATTTTCTCGAAATCATTCGTGAGGTACATTTTCTTGTCCATAGTAGACACAGTCTTCCAAACGCTGGCCTCCACGAAATTTCCTGCGGGTCTATCATCAAATGTAGCTGCTTTCATCGGGAAAGGGTTGTGGTCTACATTAAGCTTTGCCACAGCAATATCATACTTCGGCATAGTGTAAGTTAAGTTGAATTTTTCGTGCAACCGCCAGAAGAGGATCGGGTAAGTGTGAGTGTAGTTTCTTATAAAATCGTTGTATACTAAGACCCTGTGTGTAGCTCCGTGACGTCTGCAATGGGCAGAGGTCACCACCCATCTGCTAAGAACAACAGCGGCGAAGCAAGAAAAAGACCAAGTGCTTGACGCGTTCCTAGTGATGGCCGCGACGTATGGAAATCTTTCGTATATGGCTTTAGATGTATTATCACTCAAAGCGATCACTCCCATTGACCTGGCGAAGTTGTAAACACCACCGCCTATGATGTAATCCCTCCTCTTTTCTTGCAAAGTGATCTCAGTTGCGAACTTCACCATTATGCAGACTGCCATTATAGCTATTAGAATAAACACGGTCAGTACGACACACGCTACTTTCATTTTTGTAAAGATATGGACAAAAATCTTTAAAAAAATATGTTAAACTGATGTGAACATGTTCAATGACATTTTCAACAACTAAGAATCATAGAGAAAGATCAATACAAAGACCAGAATAATTTATATAGGATAAATACCGAACAAGAAGAATCTCAGAATAAATACAGAATAGACATTTTTCTCGGGTATGAAGTAGATAGAAAGCTTCTTTCACCGTCGGGGTCTCATTTAAAAATAGGCGTTCCCCAAGGTTCTATCTTAGGCCCATTTCTATTTTAAATATATATAAATGATTTACCATTTTTTGTTAAAAGTCTATGTGAGATCGTGTTGTTTGCAGATGACACTTCATTGATATTTAACATTGACAGAAACAAATATAATTTTGACGATGTAAACAATGCTCTCTCACGAGTGTTATCTTGGTTCACAGTTAATAATCTTCAAATGAATGCTAAAAAAACCAAATGTATAAAATTCACTTAACCTAATGTAAAAGTAGCATCAACTGAAATTAAACTCAACAGCGAACATTTAGAGTTAGTAAGTTCAACAAAAACTGCAATGGAACCTGCATATTTCTATATTAGCTGGTAAACTCAGCTCAGCTGCATATGCCATACGAAAAATAAGACAAATTACCGATATAGAAACTGCTCGGACAGTGTACTTTAGTTATTTTCACAGTATCATGTCCTATAGCATTATATTGTGGGGAACGCCATCCGATATTCAGTCTATATTTGTTTTACAAAAAAGAGCAATAAGAGCTATCTATCAGTTGGGCTCGCGAATATCTCTTAGAGAGAAATTTACAGAAATTGGAATATTGACGCTTGCATCGCAATTTATACATAGTTGTATACTTTCTGGCGTAGTGACGATACGTTGTTTAGAGGGGCGGATTACAATTTCTTGAACTTTAAACGCTCATTACTCAAAATCGCATTTTTTGCATTTTGTCACTATCGTTCTCAACGTGCGATATGTATTTAAATCGGTCCAATACTCACGCAGCCTATTCAATGCACACAAACAAGCGATCAAGTCTTTCCTCTTTATAATATTAGTAGCGTAAATTTGTATTGATATAAATGATGTCGAGCAAAAATAACAAAATAAATAAACTGTAAATGAAATCGGGCGGGGGTTTTCTGTAGGCCATTATTAATTGCTAAAGTTAAGCTATTTTTGCAAGGGATGTGCGACATAGGATAGGTGACCGAAAATTTATCATGTCGAGCTTCTCCATGTTTCCGAATCATTGCTCAATTGGCTCCATCTGAGTTGTTAACACCAATCTGCACCGGGTCCGCGTGATAGGTTATGCAACTCATTCATGACCCATTCTCCTATATTGCACCAGCAATAGGGACATTTAGGTATTTTAAAGGAGATGACCCGGTATTGGCTAGTTTAAGATTATGAATTAGTTTTGGCCACTTTGAGAGTTACGACAAAGTGAATTTTGAAACACCATAGCAGTTAACGCAATTAGTTTTGTCACAATGAACATTTTAGAAACCGTTCACAGTAAAACAATATATTTGTATATGAGTTAGCCAGAAAACTATGAAGTTCCTTCATTGGCCAAACCGGTCTTCTGCCCTAGATTGATGTTGGTAAGGAATGTACATTTTATTATTAACGAAATCTCGCTTCATTGATTTTTAGTAAAAAGTATAATCAATAATAGTCATAGATATACGATCACAATTACCATAAACATAGTTGTTGCAAATTGAATGTCCACACGCATCATTTACCACCACCGAGACTAAGTCGCAAAATTCAACTGTAACGTATAGATTTTTGTTAATAAAAAACGCAGTTTATTATGGACCTTACTGCTAGAGAATTAAATCTGAGTTTCATTTATATTGATAAGAAGGGGAGATTAAAACGTGGAACGTAAAATTTTTTGACGAAGAAGAATATGCAACAGATAAAATTTTGCTTATTTATATACTATTTGATGTATCCCGGGACTTTCCCCGCGTAAATAAGAGCCTATGTTATGTCACCCGCGTATGATGTGGCTTTTTGTAGTCTTTAAAATTGGTCTAGTAATATTACTTTGTTGATTCGTACCATGATCTAAATTAAAAGTAAGTTTATTTTGATATTATTGTGGTTTTGTTTTGTGACGTCATCGCTAAATCATTCACTCAAATAATCGAACCACAGTTAGATTTAACAGTCGTCCACACGGCAGGAAATCTGAGCCGCGACCACCGACCACCTGATGGTTGGCAAAGCATGTTGGACCAACATGACCTTCGACACCCTTGGTCGAAGCGTACCGTATCGGTGTACTGCCATACTCGTGTAAGAATTACGCACAATTACGCAATTTGGAGTATTACCAGGGGATAAAAATTTATTATATGTATATGTGTTCGGATTTTAAATGTTATCTACATCACAATATTTATGCAACATACAAAACAAAAAATTATTCAACGTGAATTATACTAATCCATATCATCATTCATTGAGGTCATATACTAATATCAATGATTAAGTTTGATATTGTTAAATCCTATTATTATTATAAATGTGAAAGATTCTTTGTTTGGATGTTTGTCCGTCAATCACGCCACGTCAAGTGGTTCGCATGTCGGTTTCAAGGTGTCGCCATTTCTGAGGACCCGAGTTCGATTTTCGGTCGGGTCTACATGCTATTTATCTTAGATACTAACATGCTTACTCATATTGGAATCCGAGCAATGTATGTGATTTTGTCTAATCATAATAGTATAATTTAGATAAACGAGATGTGTAATTGAGAAATTTTACTTAAAAATGCTTTTTGCATGCTTATTCATGGCAATACGTTGATTTCGACTTATTTTTCATACGGCCGATATCTGAATTGAGAAAAATACAAAATTTCAACTAATTATTCTCAATAACTTAACTTTTTCACATTTCACAAAAAGTCTTAGTTATATGAAACTGCTATCACATGACCCTTAAAAAACTAACCGAAATGAAAAGTTTGAGACGTACTTAAATTCTCAATTAAGATACCGATGTTAATCTACATAGTCTATAGTTTTCAACATCATTTTGAGCAGTAAAAATGAGTACGATTATGAACGGAGATTTTTAATTTGAGTATGAAAACCTAATTGGCACTTGTAAAAGCTAACAACATAAATGTAACTTAAATTCTTCAATGGTAGAATAAAATTATTAAACTTAATTAAAAGAAGATATTTAGATAAATTGTAGCAACACAAAATTTGCTTTTGCTACCGCCTTGCTTCGCTACGACCCTGGTACTTGCTTAGCGCTTGTAATCGCCGTGCTTATTATGCCCTTAAAGCGGTCCCCACCGAAACTGTCACAGTCCGAAACGGACTCCGAAAGTAAAACTGTTTGTACCTATGAAGACGCGGGAGATATTCAACATCGGGTTCCAAATCGTCAGAAAAGAAGACGTGAAAATGAATTACATGAATTTATGGATGAAGTCCGTACAATGATCGCTAGTTTTATTTCGGAACAAAATAGCCAATTAAGTACCTTGCAACAAACAATAACAGAGATTAAGGCCCAAAATGCTGGAATACAAACTAGTATGGAATTTCTATCAGCTAAATACGATAATTTATTTAAGGAATTAGAAATATTAAAAAATGAACGTAAGAATTACAATGACAATATACTCGAATTAAAAAATGAAATCGAAGTACTAGAAAGAAGTTCCAACGCCACTAAATTAGAAATAAGAAATATTTCTAAATTCGAGAATGAAAATAAAAAATCATTATCCCAGATAGTTATCGATATAGGCCAGTCTTTAAAGCTTGACATTAAGGGCTCCGATATACGGGATGTGTATCGTCCCTTTGGTAAATCGGATGTAGTAAGACCAATTATCGTGGACCTAAACTCTGTTATTCTGAAAAATGATATAGTACAAAGTTACAGAAAGCTCAACAAATCTGGAGATAAATTGAATAGTTCTCATATTAAAATGAAGGGACCTACTAAGCTGATTTTCATCTCTGAGTGTCTTACGTTTGAAGGAAAAAAGATTTTTTATTCTGCGCGCGATTTTTGTAGAACAAATCAATTCAAATTTTGATGGATCTCACATGGGAAAATTTATATGAGGAAGAAAGAAGGAGCTCAGCTGATTCGAATCGACAAAGAAGAAACACTCAATAATCTTCTAAAAGATTATAAATGACTATACCTGGCTATATTTAAGATTTATTATTGTTTATTTTTATTTTTAATATCTCGCATGATTATGTTTCCTCAATTTTGTTTTTGCTTTTATATTAATAATTCAATGCTTGTTAATGCTATCTACACTATACACAAATACACTCTAATGACATTTGTATGTAAGCAAATGGAATTCATTCCTACATTTTATCTTAAAAGGATCAGATGCATGGTTCATATGTCATTTTATAGTTATAACTTTGAAAAACTTTTTCAAGTGGGATGTATTGAACGAGTAATTCTAATTTCCCAGTGTGGGCGTGTTCGATTATTCATTATTAGCAAATGGATATTTGCACATGGCACTCTCTTGTATTGTTTTAACTGTGGGTATGGGTATTTTCTCATTATATTTTCTTGTTATCTTGTATTAATTAATGAATGAAAACAGTATGATTGCAGATATGGATAATATATCCATATCAGAACCCATATTATGTAATGTCGAAGATTGCATTAGACACTTATCTAATAATCCTTCAAAATACCTTTCAGTTATGACTCAGAACATAAGGAGTATATCCTGTAACATCGACATGTTTTCCGTGCACATCAATAGACTTGGATTCGACTGTGATGTCATTGCACTAACAGAGGGCTGGATATCAGTCCTCCCGCAATTGGATGGTTACAGTTCATATGTCACGACTGATAATTATAATCAAAACGATGGTTTAATTGTTTATACAAAATCATGTTTACAACATAACGTAACCGAACCAATTTTCGATGAATGTAACTGTTTAATTGTTAAGCTGGGTGGCGACACTGCTATTGTAACTATATATCGCCCTCCTTCGTTCAGAAATGTGAGTCCTTTTCTTAATTCATTGAATCGGATTTTATCGAATGTCTCTTCTTTTGCAAATATAGTTGTCATAGGTGATATTAATATTAATATGAAAAACTGTGACAGCTATGTACATGAGTACTTAAACATTTGTGCCTTCCATGGGCTGCTACCTGCTCACAACTTACCCACTAGAGACAGTTCGTGCTTAGATCACATAATCCTCAAGTCCAAGCGATCTTCATTTGCTTTTGTGATGAAGTCCACTTTCACTGACCATGATTCGGCAATGCTATGTCTTCGTAAAACGATGAATCGATTACAGCGGCCACCCTCCAAAACAGTAATAGATTACGCTGGCTTGGACTTGGAGATAGAGGGAATTGATCTTGAACCAGTCTATAAGTCTACTGACCCAAACATATCCCTTGAATATCTCATTTCATGTCTCCAAAATAGCGTTTCGAAACATTCGTTTATTCATACAATCCCACGACGTAAAAAAAATCTGAAACCTTGGATAACGCCTGGATTGCTTCGTTGTATGAGAAATAGAGATCGAATGCAGTTGAAACTTAAATCAAATCCAGAAGACTTTAACCTAAAAACTACATTTAAAAGATACCGTAACTATTGCAATAAATTGATAAAGAAACTTAAACGAGAATATGAAAGAAAAGAACTAAAAACAGCTGGAAATAACAACAAGAAATTATGGGAGGCTATAAAGAGGATTACTAATATAAATAAACAAAAAACTTGTACATCCGAATTGTTACAAAAAGCTGATCCTCTTCAATCTTTGGACAATATTAATAACTTTTTTGTGAATGTTGGTAAGAATTTAGCCACTTATAACTACCAAAAGTATGGAATTGATCCATGCTCTATCACAACTGTTGCAGGGAATAGTTGTACGTCCTCTTTAGTACTTTTGGAAACGGACGCTTATGAGATCAACCTCCTCATCACCCAACTAAAAAACAACTCCACTGTTGGATGGGATAGTATCTCAAATTATATTCTAAAGCGATATAAACACATTCTCTCCCGTCCTATTGCCACTATTTTCAATTTATGTTTGGAACACGGTATCTTCCCAAAGGCCCTTAAAAAGTATCTTATCCATCCCATTTATAAGGGCGGCGACAAGGCCTCTGTAAATAACTACAGACCTATATCAATTCTCCCGGCTCTGTCAAAATTGCTGGAAAAGATCTTAAATAAAACATTAATTTCTTTCTTGGAGACCAGGAACCTCCTCTCTGCTAACCAATTTGGATTTCGTAGGGGTAGGTCTACTTCTGATGCGGTCTCCGAGCTAACTAATTTCATTGTTGAGAAGTTGGACGGGGGAGAGAAAGTCATTGGCATTTTCCTCGATCTCGCGAAGGCCTTTGACACGGTTTCTATTCCCATTCTTTTACACAAACTTGAAGTATTGGGAGTACGAGGTGTCCAACTACAGCTTTTTCGAGATTACTTATCTGATCGATACCAGTCAACGATACTTGGGGACCTCATTAGCAAGGAAGAACCTGTCTCTTTTGGCATTCCTCAGGGCTCTATATTAGGCCCAACTCTATTTGTCATATACATCAACGATCTTTGTAACTTATCATCATTTAATGGGAAAATGATATCTTATGCCGATGATACTGTTCTGTTATTTTCTGCAGCTTCGTGGCAAAGGGTTTTTCTCAAGGCACAGAAAGGCTTTGATCTGGTGTGCTCCTGGCTGTGCCAGAACATTCTTGAGCAATTTCAAAGAAAAATGTACCACCGGTTTTTGCCTTGTCCCTCGACTTTGTTAATTTATTTTTATATGATGAATGGCTTCTAGCATAATATATTGATTTTTAGTGAAACTATAGTATATTTAAATACATCTTTAAATTGTCTTTTTGTTCTTAATTTACTAAATATAAAACTTATGATTTTTTTTTAATATTGAAGACCATCAAATTTAGCTGTCCCCTTTCCAACTAGAGTCAGAAAACATTTGATTTTTTTAAAAAGTCGCGCATTGGGAGTGGTTTATAAATATAATTTGAATTCATTAAAGTCAATTTATCACTTACAAGTTTCAATAATATTGTTTGTTACATATTTTATTTTAAGAATAAATATAAAATAAAGTCCAAAATATTAGCCTACCGGAACATTCCGTATTGTGACCGCTCGTTTTTGCAAAAAATCGTTTTAATCGAGGAAAGTATTCGGCACGAAATGGCAACACAACAATCGTCTTTCATCGAGAGACGCCATTTTGCTTTCAGTATTAATACTTATTGTGACCAGCGCGGACGTATTGTTGAAGTGTTCAGTGTTTCATTTTCTTCGCTCAGGTATGTGACCAAGTTTTACTATTGTTAATCACTTTTCTTTAATTATTGTTATTGTTGATACATTGTAAGATTTATATATAGTATTTGATACTAAAAAATTAATAGTGCTATGTACGATGAGTAATTTTTAAACGATTTAAAACTATAAGAAGGTAGCATTATGTGACCTCCATTGTGTGATTTATACTACGGTCACATATAACGGAACGCCAAGTCACAACAGGTCGGAATGCATAAAGCTTAATTCATATTGCGAATCCGAAATGACTCATGACCAAATGAATGTACCTACTACTAAAATTTGAAATTATTTAAGTTTTATATCTCAATTTTACAGATTGAAGTTTGCTGAAGACAGTTGAACATTAGGTAAGATTTTCTTAACTTAAAATAAGTATTTTGTTCCTAAAGATAATACTATAGGTATTATTGCATTATAATGAGACCCGCGTATCTTAGTAAGTTGATAATACGAACCTTGTAGGCAACTAGGTACCTAAGCAGCACTTGCTCGTAAAGTGTATTTATTACCTATATAAATTCAAATTGTCCTAAGCTGTTTACATATACATAAAATGAGGTTATGTTTGGCTCTGTTATAAATTCTAAAAGTTACTTTCGGCTTATTTAGGGGTACCAAGTATTTGAACATCGCTCTCTTGTTTTAGAAACTACTTACGACTACAGCTACGATGACACTGTTTTATATTCAAATTATTATCATTAAAATAATGTGTTATTTCATGACATAGTAGGTATAGTCATAAAGTTTTTCCTCACTTCCAAGCAAAAAATAGTTAGGTATTGTAAATAATGCAAGACTCCCTGATTATTGTTGACAATTTATCTGACTACAACTACAATTCTCAAACAAAGCCTAGATAGGACAGGGCTTCATGATGAGAAAAGAAGAAGACCTTATAGAACTTGTAGTAATATTTAACACTTTTAGGTATTACAATGCCGCTTACTGGCGCGGGGAAAACTAGAAGATACAGAGAAAAATTAAAAAATGAACGCCCGGATGAATATGCTGCTCAATGCAAAAGAAACTTAGATCGACTGAAATCGAAAAAAAAAAAAATTACAGAGATGTCATCAGAAGAAGCCGAGTTGCAAAGAAAAAAATGGCGTGAAGAAAAAAGAAAAAATTGTGCTAAGATAAAAAAGATAAAAAGTATAACCAAATGTACAAATGAGCCAGAAAACCCCATTGATGGTTCAGATTTAATAACTTTAAACAGATTCCGGCGAAAGTGTCGATTTTTACTAAAAAAGTGCCGATATCTCCAACAATGTACAGATAAACTGAAAACACAAAAAGAAAAATACAAGAAACGTCTGTATCGCCTTAAAATTAAAGATATGAAGGAAATTAATGACTTGAATCTAACAATTACTAAAATGCGTGCTAGAGAAGAAGTGTTAGAATCGACATTGCAAAAAACATATCGAGGTACTAAATCTCAAAATGATAAAAAGATTCTTAAAAGAATAGTAGACAATTCAACGAACAAAACGGTCGTTACTTGTTGAAGACAGCCACGTGCCGAAAAATGTACAGATCGAACGACCAATCACAGCGCCTACATTAGCGGAATTATCGGGGAGCCCATTGGCTGCGTAGGCGCCGTCCGCACGGTGGGGGCGATTCCCCCACCCGGCGCGCGGGCGTAAAACGCGCTGTGATTGGTCGGCCGCCGCGCGTCACTAGTATCTAAGTTAGATGTTAAGTTTAGAATAAGGGTAGGGCCAAATTTGTAAATATTTGTAGTCAAGTCAAGTCAGTCAAGCAGTATAGTCAAGCAGTAATAAGTAGCCAGTAAGAAGAAAATACAATAAATCGTCTATAGAAGAAATCCGTCTTTGTTTTGCACCATCATCAACAGTTATACAGCATCGTCTACAGTTTGGTCCATAGAGCCGGATCAGCACCCTCAATAGTTTGGTCCTTCGAGCCGGATCTAAACACGTATAGAACCTTCGAGATCCAGCAACAGCGATTCAAGATGGTGCTTACAAGAAGCCAAGACGAAGAAAACCAACGTCGTGTCTTCGACCAGCCGCCGAGATCGCCCTCAAGTACACCGACCGTACGAGGACGCCTCGAGACGGGTAACGCCGGGGAGAGCCTACGCACCGCACCGCAAGTCTCGCAACTAGCGCCTAACGCGAACCGCGCTGGGGCAGACGTTGCCGGAGCACGCGTCGCCTTGGCAGTGACTACGCAGCCGCCGAGCGGAGCGGACGAACGCGCAGCACACCCAACGGACACAGCGGCGACTACTGGAATAACGACATCTGCGATGACGTCATCGGTGCAACCGGCGAGGAGAGTGCACGTCGCGCGTTCGACCCGCTCGGCAGCGAGCAACGCGGCACGCCGGAAGCTACGCATCGAGGCAGAAGAACGACTGGCTGCCATAAGACGCCGAGAACTCGAAATTGAAGCGGACCTCATAAAAAAGACGCTTAATATCGAGTTAGAAACGCTAGACGGAGCAGAGAGCGAACCCGAAGCTGAAGAACCGGCAAATAAATTACAAGATCGAGTGTTCGAGTGGCTCGACGACGCGAACGTCGACCAACAATGGGGGGAGCTCTCAAGGACCGCCGTGGCTGAACCGCCACCTGAACGCGACACGCGACGCCCAGATAGGGAAGAACGAAGACGGTCGTCATCGCGAGGCAGAGGCATCGATCAACTCGCCTCTGTCCTCGAAACTCTCGTGAAGTCACGACCGCCGCCGCGTCAAGCATCGGATCTACCGATATTTTCTGGTTCACCGCTGGAATGGCTACAGTTCGCGACTGCGATGCGAGAAACAACGCGGCTGTACGAATTCACACCTACAGAGAATATGGCAAGACTAAGAAACTGCCTACGTGGAGAAGCTCGGGAAAACGTCGCATCATTGTTGAGCACCGCGACGCACCCCGACGAGATCATGCGAACATTGGAGCAATGCTACGGAAGGCCAGAAAGACTAGTGGACATGGCTTTCGCCGATCTACGGAAGCTGCCGAAGATTGGACCTACCGCGAACGATCTTAACATGTTTGCGGTGAAGCTACAGAACGTCGTGGCCGTCCTGAGGAACGTGCAGCCAGAGTACCTACTTAACCCACTGCTGACCCGGGAAGTCTTGGACAAGATGCCGAGCTACCTTGTATCGAGTTGGTGCAACTTCGCCGAGTCACAGCCGGGCCCGAACGCCGATCTACTCAAACTTTCATCGTTCCTGATGAAAGAAGCTGACCGCTGCATGCGATACAACTATGTATCGAACCTCACCGCACCCTCCACATCGCAACGAACACGTGAAACGCCTCGCCCCGCCCCCAGACCGGAGGCTAAGAAGAAGACGGTGTACGTCGCCACCGAAGAAGCACCGCAGCGCAGATGCCTTTCATGCCAGGAAGCCCACACACTACCTAGCTGCCCAAAGTTCAAGCAGCTAACGTATGATGACCGATGGGAGCTGGTGAAGAAGGAGGGCCTTTGCTTCAAATGCATCGTGGGCCGACACCGTCGATTGAACTGCCGACAGAAGCTCTGCGGAATCAACGGATGCAAGCGACCGCATCACCGACTGTTGCACGCAGATGAGCGTGGAACGACGAACGACGTGGCTACGAGCGCGACCGACACAAACGCGGCCGCAACGGAACCAGCCACCACCGAAACGACGACGGCTGCCACGACGACAAGCCGCGCCGTCAAATTGAAGATTTGCCCCGTGACAATCACGGGCAAACGTGGGAGCTGCGACACCTACGCGCTCTTCGACGAAGGCTCGACGGCCACCTTATTAGACGACGACCTGGCGCGACAGATCGGCGCCGACGGACCGACCGCACAGCTCAACGTCCGAGGAATTAACAAGAAGCAAAGTCACGTGCAGAGCCGTCGAGTGAAGATTGGAATAAAAGGAACGCGCAGTGACCAGATCTTCAAAATCAACGCTCGCACCATGGTGGGCCTGGACCTCACGCCGCAATCGATACCGGCGGAGGCGATGAAGCTACGACACCTAAGAGATCTCGACGAGCGAGAAGTCGTATATAAGAATGCGAAGCCTCGCATTTTGATCGGGACGGACAACTGGGAGCTCATAGTGACCCGTGAGCTACGGTCAGGAAAAACCAAGGAACCAGCTGCCTCCAAAACCGAACTCGGATGGGTAATCCACGGGACGGCGCCATCGAGATCGCTTCGCCGCACCGAGGATACATACATGTCGTCACGACCGAAGCATCAGACGACCGACTCGAAGAACTCGTGTCGAGACACTTCCGGATCGACTCACTCGGAGTGTCGCTCGACGCATCACACGTCCGCGAAGAGGACAAGCGTGCCGTCTCCACGTTCGAACGCACCGTGAAGCACAAGGACGGCAGATACGAAGTGGGCCTGCCGTGGCGAAACGACAATGCCAGACTGCCACGGAGTTACGACTCAACACTCCGCCGGCTCACGAATCTGGAGAACAAGTTGAGAAAAGATCCACGCGACAGGGAAGAATACCAGCGGAGGATCGACAATCTACTAGAAAAAGGATACGCCGAACCCTGCGACGGCTCCGAGGACGCTAGCCCCGTCGCATGGTACCTGCCGCATTTCGCCGTCAGGAATCCCAATAAGCCCGGGAAGCTGCGACTGGTTTTCGACGCAGCAGCAAGAATTCGAGGTGTCAGCCTGAACGATCACCTACTCGAAGGGCCGGATCTGCTACGATCGCTGCAGACCATTTTATTCCGGTTTCGAGAGGGCGCATACGCGGTGACAGCTGACATCGAGGAAATGTTCCTGCGAATCAAGATACGCCGCGAGGACCAACCCGCACAGATGTTCCTGTGGCGCGACTGCAGGCAGAATGAACCACCGCGCAAACTGAAGATGACGTCGATGATCTTCGGCGCATCGAGCTCACCGTTCCTCGCACACAGCGTGAGGGACCACAACGCGAGACAGCATGCTGAGACGCACCCTGCAGCACTGCGCGCAATCACCGAAGCGCACTACATGGATGACTTCGTCGACAGCTTCAATGATCCGAGAGAGGCCCACGAAGTCATCACCCAAGTCGACGCAGTGCACCAGAAGGCTGGATTCCACCTGAGGGGATGGAACAGTAACAATAGGAAGCTACTACAAGCCGTGAACCCGGATAGTAGAGCCAAAAGCGGGACGACGACGTTTGGAGACACAGAGAAGACATTGGGCCTGCTTTGGGATGCAAATACCGATCGGCTGGGCTTCAACACCGCCCTGCCTAGAGTCCCACTGCCAGTGAAGTCTCGACAACGCCCGCCGACGAAAAGAGAAGCATTATCGACGGTGATGAGCATATACGATCCGCTCGGACTGCTCAGCTGCTTCACAATCACAGCGAAGATAACTCTTCAAAAACTATGGCGCCTCAAGACCGGCTGGGACGACCCTCTACCATCCGACTTGAGCGAGGACTTCGATACATGGTTGACAAGCCTGCCAGCAATCGACCAACTACGGCTAACCCGTAGTTACAACGGGGGGAGAGAAGTGCGTCGCCGTGAGCTTCATGTATTCTGCGACGCCAGCGAAGAAGCCTACGCAACGGCGGCGTATTGGAGGTTGCACTACGGACCCGGCCATGTTATCGAGACAGTTCTGATAGCGGCAAGAGCTAAGGTCGCGCCCTTGAAGACCCAAACCGTACCGCGCCTGGAACTTCAAGCGGCCCTCATCGGAACGCGACTAGCGAAAGCAATCAGAGAAGAACACCGTGTCAACGTCGACGACACCGTGTACTGGAGCGACTCTCAGACGGTGCTTCATTGGCTGCGGAATGGAAGCAAGCGCTACACTCCATTCGTCGCACACCGTCTGGGAGAAATAACTGAGTCATCCAGACCGCAAGACTGGCGATGGATACCGACGCATCTGAACGTAGCCGACGTCGCCACACGCGCCGGTTATACGCCAGCCAACGAAAACGACCTGTGGTTCACGGGACCATCCTTCTTGAAATTACCAAGATCGGAATGGCCGAAGCCACCAACGGGTCGAGAAGATGACGAAACGACGGAAATAACACACGTCATCGCGCACACAACAGAGAGAAACGCGGCGCTACCGGAGATAGAACGATTCTCGACGTTCGAGCGACTGATCGGCGCAACAGCGCAAGCGCTACTCTTCGTGGAAAGATGTCGTGACAGAACGAAGACACTCAGCCGCGAACATTTCAACCGAGCGACAAATTTATGGCTGCAGCAGGCGCAACAAGACTCCTTCAGCCAAGAAATCGAGTGCCTGAAGAAAGGAGTCCCCGTAGCACGAACGAGCCCTCTACACCGTTACGACCTCACCTGGGAAGACGGGCTTGTGAAACTAAACGGACGCATTAACAAGGCGGACGTACCGGAAACAGCGAAGAAGCCGGTATTATTGGACGGACGCCACGAACTCGCGAAGAAAATTATTGATCGAGAGCACAGACGAGCGGGACACTGCAACAACGAGCGAGTGGTCAACGACGTCAGGCAGCAGTACTGGATCCTGCGGCTGCGACCAACAGTTAAGAAAGTCGCAGCAGGCTGCCTTATGTGTCGATTTCGAAGATCGCAGCCAAGGAGCCCGCCGACGGGGGATCTGCCCGCAGAACGTTTACAGCCCTTCAGACGTCCCTTTAGTCATTGTGGGATAGATTATTTCGGGCCAGTCACCATCAAAATTGGAAGACGAAGAGAGAAAAGATGGGTGGCGTTATTCACCTGTCTGACGATACGCGCCGTGCACCTGGAGCTGGTGGCATCACTCACCACCGACTCCGCAATCATGGCGCTACGAAGAATGGCAGCACGACGAGGATGGCCAGCCGTAATATATAGCGACAACGGCACTAACTTCCGAGGGGCTGACACCGAGCTCAAGAAGGCGTACACCGAGTGGCTTCCCGAGCTGAAGAGAGAGGCGATGAACTACGATGCCACATGGAAATTCATCGCGCCGGGAGCACCTAACCAAGGCGGAGCCTGGGAGCGCATGGTTCGCTCCGTGAAAACCGCGCTCAACGCCACATTAAACGAACGAGCACCGAAAGAGGAGGTCCTGCACACTCTACTGGCCGAGGCGGAACATGCTGTCAATTCGCGACCACTGACGCATGTCTCCGTAGACCCAAGCGATCCGGAGGCGCTAACCCCAAACCACTTCTTGTTGGGGTCATCGACCGGCCTTCCATACACCGGGCCATGTGAAGAGGGCGACCGCAGGACTTGGAGGGCGACGCAAGCACTAGCCGACGCCTTCTGGAAACGCTGGCTACGAGAGTACCTACCGACCCTCGTACCACGCCGCGACCCACAACGTCCACGAAGCAGCGAAGTACGGATCGGAGACGTGGTTATCATAGCCGACCACGCTCTGCCTCGAAACACGTGGCCACGCGGCATCGTAGCCAATACCTACCCTGGACCTGACGGCGTTATTCGGAACGTGAAGATAACCACAAGAGGAGGAACATTTCGGCGGCCGACATCGAAGCTGATCGTCGTCGAACCTGCACTCTCCACGGAACGATGAGAGGACGCGCTGCGCGACGGGCACGGGCTGCCAACCGGAGGAGGCTGCGGAGATCCTTCGCCGGGGGGAGACTGTTGAAGACAGCCACGTGCCGAAAAATGTACAGATCGAACGACCAATCACAGCGCCTACATTAGCGGAATTATCGGGGAGCCCATTGGCTGCGTAGGCGCCGTCCGCACGGTGGGGGCGATTCCCCCACCCGGCGCGCGGGCGTAAAACGCGCTGTGATTGGTCGGCCGCCGTGCGTCACTAGTATCTAAGTTAGATGTTAAGTTTAGAATAAGGGTAGGGCCAAATTTGTAAATATTTGTAGTCAAGTCAAGTCAGTCAAGCAGTATAGTCAAGCAGTAATAAGTAGCCAGTAAGAAGAAAATACAATAAATCGTCTATAGAAGAAATCCGTCTTTGTTTTGCACCATCATCAACAGTTATACAGCATCGTCTACAGTTTGGTCCATAGAGCCGGATCAGCACCCTCAATGTTACTAAAATGCTGGGATTGATTGGCAAAGCAAGGGTACAAAAAAGGAAAAGAAATCAAATAAATGTTTATGAAATAACACAATTTTAACTACGAGATGACGTGAGTCGGATTACATCAGGGAGAAAAGAAACAAGGACACAACACAAAGAGAAAAAGCAGATAAGGTACCTGATGGATACGCTGGTCGAAAGCTACAAAAAATATAAAGATGGCGGTGGGCGATATGGCTTAACGTCTTTCTTCAATCATAAACCATTTTATGTGTTATCACCTCACCTTAATGCAAGAGACACATGTCTTTGCATCAAACATAGTAACCTAGAATTTCTACATTCTGCTATAAGACGATGTGGAGCGCTGAAGATGGGAATGAGACAGGTTTTGAGTAACGTAGCTTGTGACACAAAAAGCTATACTTGTATGTATGACAAATGTGAATCATGCAAAGATAAAAAACTGAATTTCGAGAGTTCTGAAAACAGTAAAACGGACGATTCTAATATTGTATCCTGGCTTCGTTGGGAACGTCAAGATCACACCTATTCAAAAAAAGAAGGAATTGAAACCAAAGAAATTAAAACAAAAAGGACTAAAAAGATAACTAAATCAGGGACATTAGAGGATCTGAAAAATTTTTTTAATGAAGAACTGCATAATTTCAAAAAACATTACTATAACATGCAACAACAGCAAAGCCAATATCGGAAAGCCATTTCACAATTAAAAGACAACGAAGTAGTTTTGGTCTGTGATTTCTCCGAAAGTTATGAAGCTAAGTTAGCCAGTGAAATACAAGCTATGCACTTCGGGGCGTCAAAACACCAGATAACTTTGCATACTGGCATGGTATATTGGCATAACAAATCACAATCATTTTGTACCCTTGCTGAAAGTAATAATCATCAACCTCCAGCTATCTGGGCTCATTTGACTCCAATCATTCAATTAATTAAAGAAGAAACTCCAAATCTAGATGTCATACATTTTTTTACTGATGGACGTCTTCTCAATACAGACAAAAGAATAACTTTTTTTTGTTTGCCTACTTTGCTAAAAAACTGCAACTCAATTTTGCTACTTGGTCTTTTTTTGAGTCAGGCCATGGTAAAAGTGTGGCTGACGGAATCGGGGGCAGCGTCAAGCGCACTTTGGACAGAAAGGTTTGCCAAGGAGTTGACGTCACTGATGCCAAGGATTCCTATGATATTTTGAAACAATGCCTCAAGGTCACGAAGGTTTTTCTAGTTCCAGACAGTGCCATAACTGCCATAACTCATATTTTGCCTAGAAATATACAACCATTAAAAGGAACCCTGCAAGTACATCAAATTATGACCCACGATGAAAATATTATAAAATTCAGAGATGTCAGCTGCTTTTGTGAACCTCTTCGAGGACGCTGCGCCTGCTTTCAGCCGCAAATCCACTCAGTCGTTTCCAAAACTAACAGAGGTGGTGACAGAATCCAGCGAGTACAATCTTTGGCAAAACCACCTGAACTAGCACAACCCGAATGCCAAGTATTTGATGACATTTCATTACAGCATGTCAACAATCAAATTAAACATAAAGGAATCATAGACTCATTAGAAGGTGGCTCGCTGGACTCGGCTTTGCCAGATTTAGTAGGGACATTTGATATTTCAGATATGGAATCTCTGAAAAGTCTTGATGTTAATATAAATAATTCAGAAGGACCTGTAGAGCTTATGGATATTAATGTTATGCCAATTATTTTTGCACCGGTACCCAAGAGCACAGTCAGACAAACACCTGGAAAAGAAAATAAAACCATAAAAAAGACTTTTACTATATGCCAAAAATGTAAAGCTTCGGTTGTAGGTCGGAAAGCAAATCGCATGTCATGTAAGAAAAATTACTGTGAGGAATGCACCGCCGGTCCTCAAAAATGGGATTATCTTTGTGACATATGCTTGGAAGGAGGTAGTCTAGCTGGTGTAATTCTATACGTAATTATTTTTATAGTTCTTGTTTATGTACTAAATTAACAATAGTGTTTTTCTTTCAGATTAAAATTCTGATTTACGAGGATAACAGAACGTCAACATGGTAATTTACGCTGATATAGATAAGGTGCTCAACTTCGACGATTTTATGGACTTCTACATTTATGACCTAAAATGGCCTTGGACCGAGACACATTTTATTATCAATGAATATTGCTATGAGTGCGGTCAATACGTAAACCGATCTTCAAGAATTGGACACTTTTCTGTGATAATGACTCGCATACATGTAAAAATAATATTACTTAGTTCATATTTTTGGTGTAATTATTGTCATTACTCCGTATATGATCATTACACCACTGATGAGTGTATTTTATGTGCAAATTAAATACATACTTAAAAGTGGGTTATGGTCTAAAAATATTTTTAAATTCTTTACCAAAGTAAAATTCAAGTCATTAAGTTACTTACGTACATTACCTCAATAATATTATTATATTTTAAGGTACCTTTTTTGATGAGGCTATTATTACCTATACTTATTATTATCATATCATAAAAATATAATTAATATATATAATAATTATCTAAAAACTGAAACTCGATGATAACTAAAAGGTGCAATTTAATCAAGCATTATGAAAAACAGTAGAAACATCAGTCTTACTGTTTTTCATAATGCTTAAATTAAATTCAGAGTTTCAGTTTTTAGATAAGTATTATGTTAATTATATTGCTCATTGATTTTCTAAGGTTTCGTTTTTAGTTTGTGATATTTGTGATTATGTATGAATGAATACTTACTCTTTAATTGACACAAAAGGAATATTATTGTCTTGTTTTCTAATTTTGATCTTGATTTGTTATGACTTTATATAACTTTATTTGAATAACGCGGCGGCGTTAGGTCTACTTTTATTACTTAATTTTGTAATAAGTACGTATAATATTATAGTAGTAATATTATAGTGATCTCAAATATTTTTATATTGTATGTAGTAAGGTGAAAATATAATAATATTTAAAATAATTGTATTATTTCCTTTATTAGTCTTAAAAATATAAAAAAAACAGTGATCCACGGTTGTCGGGAGCAGGGTTCAAGCAATTTAGGAAATTTATAATTCAAGTGAACACAGCTTTATATTTTTGTGACTTCCAATTTGTCACTGTCTCTTTAAGTGGATAAAGTTAAATCAAGGATATCACATTATTATTTTATTTTAAAATAGGTTCGGCTACAAATATGTTTTCATTAAATGTATTACTTTACGCAAAAGGTACACATATTAAGTAAAATTTTATGTTATTGGAGTAAAATTAAAAAGTCACCAAGTAAAAGGCGGCAGAGTCACAAAACCGAGTAAAAATTAATCATTTTGTGTTAATCGTTGAAGTTACGGATAATTTCACTGATTAATATATGAATTACATGTATATTTAGTTTAAATAAATAAAAAAAAGCTTTATTAATTGCATCCTTTCCTTTAAATTTGCTTTTAAATCTAGTCACACAATCGAACCAGTTCCGCCACAAAATCCGTTTTGTTTCGATATTATCAGGAAAATGCCTAGAATTCCGCGTTTTTTTTATTTTTCTGTATAATAAACAATATTAACTTCCCAATATTAAAAGACAAATTAAAAAATAAAACTCTAAAAAATAAAATCCAATTTTATAGCAGGGTACACTTTTTTTTGAAATTGCTCTCTTACCTTAAATGCTGACAAAACAAATATGATGTTTTCTATGCGAACACCACACAAACGAAAGCCAAACCAGAAAATAATAGCTCATGACTGTTTAACTCGGAACCGAGACTGCATTAACTGCCCAGAATTATTAAACACTAAAAATATTAAATACCTTGGTATTACGTTGGATTATAGGCTCAATTTTAACGCACATATACAAAATGTAACTGCTAGAGTTCGAAAATTGATATACATTTTTAAAACTTTGAGACACGTCGCTGATAGTAAACTATTATCGAGTGTTTACTTGTCCTTATGTCAATCATTGTTAACATACTGTATAGAAGCTTGGGGTGGTACAACTAAGGATTCTTTGATGCAGTTGGAACGGGCTCAAAGGGCTGTGTTGAAAGTGAGCACATTCCGCTCCTTTTTGTTCCCAACACGTGATCTTTGTCAGTTATGTAATGTCCTTTCAGTTCGTCAATTATTCATTCTACATGCAGTCTTAACATACCACTCGAAACTAATTTTCAACGCAAATACAAATAGTCTACGTCGCCGTTTCACAGTCAACTTACCTAAGTTTAAACATTCGTATGTTAATAAACATCAATGTTATTTAGCTCCGTTCCTATACAAAAAGATAAATAAAATTATAACATTTATCCAATGAGCAGGTCTAGCTGTAGGGCGGCTGTTATTGAACTATTGAAAACATTAAACTATGAGGAAACCGAAGAAATGCTGAAAACTAATATTTAGCAACTGGCTTAGGAATAATTTTATTCTGATCATCTGCCTATGCTGTTATCGCTGTGGAAGTGAATACTGACTAATTAAAGATTTTAGTATAAATATAAAATGTTAATTCCACTTCTCACACACCCTCTCTCACACACTCACTCACGTCCACTTTTTACACACCGAGAGGTACTCAAACTCAAACTTAAATTATGTTGATTTTAATCTTTATTATTACTATTTGATTAATATTTATTAATTGACAATTTATATTTATTGAAACTAAAATGGATCAATTATGGATTTAAATATTTATTACCATCAATGTTGTATACTTATACTAAGACCGTATAATGAGGGAGTGAGCGCTGGACCCTGAGATTCAGGTTTAGAATATAACCTTCTGAGTAGCTTCTGTGCCTCATTCAGGCACAGAAGCTACTCAATTGTAATATTGAGTTTAAAAAACTATGTATGAAATTCTTTTGGAAATAAATATTATTATTACTATTATTAAAATAAAAAGAAATCTCTCCCATATTGTTGGGAAAATTGAAAGTGATTAGCGGCAAAGTCTCAATAAATTTTTGTGTTATTTAATTATTTTTATTTTCTCAAACTAGCTCTAATGTTGTTTTCATTGTCAAAGTTGTATATGATTTAAATGTGAAACGTAATATTTTTTCATGTTTTATGAATTCCGGAATTATTTGTACTTTCTCGGTGGGAGTTGTATATTTGAATGAAAAACAAGTTAACCAACACACACACGTCTTAGTTATAGGATCTCCACTTTACCCATATGTATTGCATATCTAGACATATTAATATCAATGACAGAATTGGCTCCGACTCAACTGAACCGATTTTAAGAATGTATTTCACCTATACGCCCGTGTCATAGGCTATAATTTATGCAGGCGGAGTCGAGGGAAAACAGTTAAGTATACCTAAATATTATGTAACATCACATTCATTGCTCAGATTCAAGACAAGTAGCAAAAGCCCTCTCGTATTATGAAATATCAGAAACAAGAAGGTCCCAGACCGTGAATAGAACTAGGACCTTAGAAATAGCAACACTTTGAAACCGATGTGCAAGCCACTGCTGATGTAAATCAACTATGTACAATATCTAACTTCTAAAGTTATTCATGTAAAAATTGATACAGAATATTCATTTGCCTGACAAGATTTGTTACTACAAGAGAAGCACTATCTCCGTGTCTAACGATATCTGGGCGACTGTTATGTTTAGATTATTATCTATGGATAAATGCATAACTCGCTCTTGACCTCTTTTCAAATCTGTTAGTTTTATAGTCTATGTTTATATTAATTCTCGATGATTATCTTGTTGCCGCCATGCATAGAATTTAAACTATATTTTGCTTATTATTTTATTTGATTACTGTTTATTTTTTAAATTGTATTTAAGTTTTAATAAAAAAAATATAAAAGTTTTTTTTAAGGGGGTTTCAATATTAGTCGCTTCTGTTAGGTTATTCACCAATTCTTTCACAAACTGCCCTGAAATTCTGTAAAAATCCTAACCCGAAATCGAATTCACTCAGGTGTCCAAATTCATGTCATTTAGTAGCAGTAAAAGTCCAAATTCTATTGATTACTTTCTATTCTATTAATTGTCTATTACTTGAAAAAAAAAAAACGATATTTCATATAGTTATATTGATATTTTTTATTTAATAGGTAACACTAAAATATTAACAATATGTCAACATGTGAAAGTCTTAACAAAGGAGATAGATTAAATTATGAAAATCGAGAATTCGCGAAGAAATCGGTGGGAAGATACATAAAAAACGAACACAGAACTTTTTCCTTTTCTATGCTACTATTACTATGAGACTACATAACAAGTATTTTTTTTGATAAAAATTAAATGGCTGTTATACCGACTGAGATAATTAGGATGTTCTATCGAGGTAAACATTTTATTTGAGCATATGCACATCTGGTCAATGCTTCCATCGCAAATTTTATGACCGGCCAATTGACCAGGGGTCAAAATTCTCCAGTTTTATTGCTCATTAATTAGTCCTGGAGTCGATTTCTGGGGTCGTATCTCTAAATAATTATCAGCGGACCGACCCTTCGCTTTGGGAAACTTTGACAGACCGCTATCTTGGTGAAATGTGTGATTCGTTTCTGATAGCAACTGTTAACGAAATAAACATTCTACAAACACATTTATTGTGTTAGTGCCAGTGTAATTATATTGTTTCTGGCCGTTACCCGCGATTAGTCCGTGTGGTCAAAGGGAAATAACTTTTTTACTGATAAAAATTCAGAAATTTATCTACAGCTAATTCACGTTTTAACCCAAAAGCAATTTCGGATTAAATCGTGGATGTTGAGTTCAGTTATAATCTTTATCTGTATCATCATTATAATATGTATCTCTTAGTTTTTTTCACATATTAAATACATTGTACAGTTTATAGAACATCGGTTATTCAAATCGGTTTCACTTCTCTAATAGATTGTAAACTTTAATTTATCGAGTAGCAGCTTTTATTCGAGACCTATTCCGTGTGGTTTCCGTAAAAAAAATTGACAAACTATCTTCCATCGTGTTACTGAAACTGGTGATATTTAAAGTAGTATTCTAAAATAAAACTTGATTTACAGTCTTAATTATATT